GATTTTTTAAATAAATATTATTATTATTTTTACAAAATTTAGAAGTAGGTTGCCCCAGTAAGTGTATAAATTTAACACTCAAAGGCTTACCAAATAATATTGCACATTCCAATGCTCCATTTCTTCCTTACATACTTCTTGTTTTAAGAAGCTACTTTACAATTAAAGCATAAAATAAAATTGAATATGAAGTGTGGCATGGAAGAAAGAAATGTAAGTGTGCACACACAAGAATGAACATACATTGCACTTTTACCCTACTCTATTTGTTCCTCTTAAAGGACATTCAATAAATAAGAGGACATTCAATAAATAAAATACTACAACGCATGGCTTTCCTATGAAAGTTCCATTCATTTATCTCTGCTCCTTACTTTTTTTTTTTTTCCCCCTTTAGTAATAGAGTGAAGGAGGAAGTAAATACAGATCAGGTTTAGAAAACCATTAAGATAGATGATCACACACAAAATACGACCACTTTCTACAATCATTTAAATCACACTGATGCCAGGTCATCTGCAAATGATATCTCACACATTTTAGGCTTCTATGACATCAAATTAGACAGGAAAGATGACGCAAAGTTTCTCAGAAACATCTGAAATGATACAAACGTCAATTTTTTTGATCCCTCCAGAGGAAACTTCAGCCTTTCAGCTGCTTGAGGTTGCACGTAACCAAGAAAATCGTAACTGAAATTGTGTTACTTCACATTCTACAAAATACGATCGCTGGAAACAGTAAAGAAAAAGTGTGCTATCGTAGTTCATAATCACAGTATGGCAGTGGTGGGAAATACTTCTCATTAACAGCAAACTCAGCTACAGTTCTTGAGTCGTGTCATTGCACAGGAAGTCCAGTCTTATCTAGTTTCTTTCTTTTGCACATCTATTGCTGCTAAAGGGTTTGACTCTGTTTTCCTCTCTATTTTGCTACGTTCTCTTTGCTGTTATATGATTATTTACACTCTACTGTACTACGATCAAAAGCATCTGGAAAGGTGGAAGTGAAGAAATGCTCTCTGGGAAAGTTAGCTTAATGCTTGCACTTCAGAGCCGCCCATTATCAACATTTCATAGCGAGTTCCTTTATTTTCAGGTCCCCAGGGTAAAAGTAGTAAATTATGACTTGAACTACACAAGTCACACTTGGCTCCAAAATCAGATTTTCCTACCTCTAGTTTCAGGTCCCAGAGGTGGGCAGAGGAAATCCTGGTCACAGCCAAAGAAGTCATTTTTGGCTCTGAAATACATTTTCCTGCTTCACAAGAGCCAAACCCCACCATTGAGAGCACCGTAGCTTTAAGCAATACTTCAACATTTCTTTTATATATTTTGCTTTAGCAACCTGATTCCTCAGCAATATGAAACCATTTTCAATCATACAGAATTACAGGTTTGGTCTCCCTTTCTTAACACAGTATTGTTATTATGAAGTACACTTATGAAACCTAATCATGGCTTTCTTCCTAACACTGACAAAGAGTTTTAGACTCCTCTCTTTGTGACAGCGACTGAATGTAAGTTACCATGGGCTTAAAATTCTTAAGTGAAGCAACTGGAAAAGAAACAAAAATGCATTCCTTAAAGGTTCTACACAAAATAATGCACATACAAAAGCATACAGTTACTGAAAGAGACCAAACGCTCTCCTTGTAACACCTGAAGTTGTAGCATATGTTTACAACACACATATGGAGAACATAATATTGCATATTTTACAACGTCTTTGGTGATGAGTTTCTTGTCCAAGAACGATACCTGGATCCAAAATGCTAAACAGTGGGCCTAAACAGTATGTTAGCATCAGACAACATGTATGTAGCACTACGCATCTTTTTCTGCCACATTATTTATGTTCTCTAATATTACGGTTCACTGGAATTAGCATCAAGTTACAAACCATAAAATTTATTTAGAAAGCAGGTTGGTCACAGACAAGTAATATTAGTGGAGATGAGCCAATATCAAGCTGCCAACATAAAATACCGGTCTCCAAAGGCACAATTCAATAAACCCTTGTGACTGTGCATAGTCCTAGTAGTATTACAGGGATTACTCACACAAGGAAGAGCTATGTGCAGGAGTAAGGGGTTATAGAGCTGAGTCTTAAGAGGACTTTTACTAGACTTCTACTAGCCCAAAAAGCAGACAAGCAAGTGTGGTTTTACATAGAGAAAGCACGTTTTTGTTATTTACCCCAATTCCAGAAGTATCCCATGAATTTCCCTGGGGAATTATTAGCCACTTGCATTTTCTATTTATAAAGGGATATAATTACTAATAATCTTCTCAGTTTCTTCAGTACATCTACCAAGCATCAGTTGCTTTGTAAAACAAGAGATGCAACTCTTGTTTCCATAGGTGTTAGACCTACTTAGCTCTAACTTGACTTGCATCGCTGTGTTTAGAATTATCTCCTCAGAATTTAAACACCATACTAATCTTCAAAGCTGGAAGTTTTAAGGTTTTCAGTATTTAGCCATGTATACCACAAGAGCAATCGTCTTAACTATCCCATGAACTCTGAACCATTTCAGTTAGGAACTCACACTTCCTAAAATCCTACAAAAAGAAAAGAAACAAAGCAGTGTCTTCTAATATTTTAAAATCTGGATTCTTCTAATCCCAGGAGAAAAAAGGATTTCAAGTGAAGAAATTGTACATTCAGTGAAGATCGAACACCCTAAAAGAAAGTCACTCGCTTGTACCTGCAAGAGAGAATTCCTCTATGCTTACTATGACAAACACAACAACTATGTCTTGAAAACAATACTGAATAGGAAAATGTATTTTAATGAAATACTGCAGCAATTATCTTTCATGGTAACTGTTATAAATTATTTCCACTGTTTAAAGCAAGTATTTGAACATCAACTTTCACTTTAAAAACCCCATTCCCATCTCAGTTTCAAAGGATTAAGATCTAATTTTAATAAGTATGGATAACAAAGCTGCACCACAAACAGAATGGTGCAAATATCATTTAGCCCCAGCAATCAGATATTACACTAGTTTTACATAAAGTTTATTTTTTATTTTTTTTTTAAATGATGTAGCACATACTTTTTTATGCCATTTTTATTACATTTCTTCCACTCCTTTGTGGGAAACAGCACTATAGCTTTAGTATGCTTTCCCTTATCCAGCCTCCCTTATCCAGCTGACTACATGAGCTTAAGTGGTAAAAGAAGCATGCAGTAATCCAGACCTTGGACCAAACAGAGCATTATTCAACTTGCAGGGAAGTACTGCTAGCTGGAGATCATTTTGAATCCAAGCTGTTGAGTAGAAGACACACTGACAGTAAGAACAATTTCCCCTAGCACCATTCTAGCAGCACTACCACACAACAGCCAGCTTCTCAGATCTGATGCTAAGAGACTAGTGCATGCCCTTCTCTCATTTAGAATTGATCAGTGCAGTGCTTTGTGCATTACTGCATCTAAATATATGCACACAAACCTTTAGCTGTGAGCAATTTGGCAGCTACTGTTTCCATCCTTACTTAACAATTTAGAGGTTTTCTTCAGTCTGATTTAAAAAAAAAATAAAAATAAAAATAAAATAGATAAACCTAACATTCGTATTTTGGAACTGTTATCAGTAATGAGGTGCACTGCCCAAATTTCTACTATACTACATATTTGATCATATCCAAAAGAAAATCAAAAGCAGTATTTTTAACCTTAAAGAAGACAATCCATTGTGAGCATAATTCACCATAGACCCATACTTTTCAATTCAATTTTCAGTTTAGAATACAAAAATATTGACATTCTGGAAATCATTTAAAGCAAAATGTAACAGTTCCAGCTCTACTACAGACCAAGTGTTTCCAAAATAGCATTTCAGAGAACACTTCTAAAACAAAGCATTTCTAACTCTAGAAACTATGATGAATTTTCTTTGAATGTACATGTTTTTATACTAAAGGACAGGGTATTATGTTCTAGTAGAAGAAAAATGTTATGGCTGAATAAACGCCTCAAGAAAGTTATGCAAACATTGAGAGAACACCACACCAGGCAGCCACTGCTAACACAAGCCTACTAGTCCTCATAGGATGTGGGTTTTTCCTACCAAGGCTTTAACTAGGCACATGCTGCAGACAACAAAGAAGTCTTTGGCTGTTCACTTAAGCTCAGAACACATCTCTAAAACCAAAGCCGAGGCAGCTTGAGCTTTCAAGTGCAGACCCATGGTTTTCTTGTTTGATTTGGCATTATTAATAACGAGAATCCAGCTGTTTCTGATATTTGTTCTGTAATACTTTTTTCTTAGTTTCACAAAGAAGTCTAAAAATGCTCTAAAATGCACACAAAAAGAAGGACAGACACAGTGGCCATCATACTGAGAAGAAAAGTGCCAGCCGTGAAGCATTATGCACTTAGCTTATTTTTAGTGATCTTCCAGATGAGTTAATAATACATATTCCTTTCATTAAGCAGAAAGAAAGTCTAGAAAAATACTTTTCCATATTCATTGGTTTTCTTTTCCTTAATAAATGCCTGGTCTCAGCTAGAAACTGCCTGCTCTCATGGAACATTATCTAACTACACCACAAGCTCTGCTGAAGTCAAAAGAAAGGAAGTGTTGATGTGGGCAATTACACAGCAATGGAAAAGCAACAGGATGTTACTTTGGCCACCTGCTGAATAATACAAATAGTCTCCAATTTCTTTAATTGGAGATGCATCAGAATACCACTTTTAGGCAAAAAAAGAGCACTTTAACAATATAAAAGCCTTCACTAGTAGTGTCAAAGGAATCTACGGTATTTTTCCCTGGCGTGATATACTTGTATTTAGAATTATAGAAATGGGTCAACAAAACATGCTGAGCTGTTCCTCCTTTTAACTGTGTAGAAAGCAATAAAGGGTTCAAATAAGACTGGAGTCCAAGGGTAAACATTTCCAACAAATGTTGTGCATATGTCATATTTCAAACAGGATACAAAAAACAACATACAACTCTTTCAATTAGACATCCATGTCCTACCTGAAGGTCTTTCACATTTGGGAACGGAATACCTATGGTTATAACTGCTCGAGCATTCTCATCACAGAAATCCAAGCCTTCACTAACTTTTCCTCTGCACACAGCTATTAGGAGTGCTCCATCTTGAAGAAGCCAAAGAGGGACATGTATCATTCCCAGGGGTAAAGTAAACATCAAAAGAAAGTTTCAGCAATATCTTTTAAAAGCTCAACATAATATAGCATAATACATTGTGCATCTGTCTGGAAAAGGTGAGGGGATTTAAATTTAGAAGCGTTTTTTGTTAGAAAGATGAGATCAACTGTATTTTCATTGATAAAATTGTGATCTTTAATACAAGTAGTAAAATAATTTCCATTATATAAGACAGTGGTACTTAATTATGCATGAACTATACGCACAGTGTTTCAAATTGAAACCTTTCAGTTCTGTATTCCAAAAACTATGTTACTGTTGACCTGCTATCATGCGTTATTCTTTACACTAACATTCAGGTATTTTGAAAAGAAATCCTACAGGAGCTGCAATGTATGGTAAAAGTGATTCTTTGAGAAGCCAGTGTGCACCCTGCTGGACACACAAACCCACATTCCTACACAGTTCACTGCCTCTTGGACACCACTGTCAGGATTGTGCATCATTCTGTGCGTCCCTTTCTCCGCAAGCAACAATGAAAACAGCTCTTAATCTTCCTCATTTATAACAATAGTTTCTTAAGATAAAGTTAACTTCAGTATTTAACCATATCTTATAATTGTTAAGAATAATTTATTTCTTTTTTAACTGGAAAGGACAGTGTAACTATTGTCTGCAGAAAGTACCTTTTTCTCCTTTAAATTTTATTGCATCGTAGTATATTTTCAGCAGTTCATCGAAGTCACTTTTTGCTCCTCCTTGAGGCTCTGCAATGACTGTTTTAACAAGCTCCAGGTTTCTCCACAAGCCAGTGTGCATCCAGCGATCTTTCAATTTGTCCAACAGCTGAAAAGAGAAAAATCCAGAAGAGCTGAAATAAATTGTCACTTCCTTAAACTGTTCCAATAAAGTACAGACACTTACCGTAGTGCAACTGCATTATTCAGTTTTTGCATTTATGAAAACAAGTTCCACAGTTATGCAATACTGGTAGTGAAGTTGGTATTTACCAACAGCCTCCTCTGCTTCAAGGCCCATCAGTTCTGTTACAGCTACCAGATTCTGAGCTGCACTGTTTTACTCCAAATCAGCACACAGTCAAATCTTGTAAGCTTGTTCTATATATACTGTGAGCATAATAAAAACATGTATTGCATTACATAAAGCTAAGTCTAGAAGTATCACAGAAACTGAATTCAGGTGGGCAGGGGTCAATTTTGCAATTACCTGCTGTCATGTCTCTTTCCCATCAGTTTCTAGATGGAATACTATGAAGTTAGGGAGCAAAAGTCATTCCTTCACCTAATATATTTGTTTGACAGTGCACAGCACTTCCCTCAGACCAAAGAAATGCAACCAATACATTTGAGCACGAGCTGAGCTGATCCGGTTCAGTGGACAGAAGGTAAATACTTGATCTCACTCATCATAGCATTCAGTGTGCCATCACTAACTGCTGGGCAGTAGAGCTGCTACACTCTACAGGTACAGAAGATTTTAGACTAACAAATTCCATAATATGGGTTACACTCCTAATTCGTACTTCCCTCAGCTCCACTCACTGAAGACTTGCTCACTATTTTGCTCCAGGCTGTATAAAGTGCTCCAACTGGATCCAGCACCAGTCCCAGCCCAGTGCTCAAGAGCCGCAGCATCCCTCGGTCCCTACCCCACTCGCCTCTTTGATGCCCACCAGAAAAAAAAACAACAAAGGATCCTGTATGCTTGCAAAATTCATTTCTTAATACAAGAAGAATATGCTAAGAACATATTTCACGTTCTTAACACTAGATCTGAATTCATTCTCTGCTATTAAGTACTTGAGTTGATCCCTTTTGAGGTACATCCAGATCAGAGGGGACAAATAGTACATTGCCTTCTGTACGATGACTAGCTTTGTTCAAGCTCCTATTCAGGAATACTGATTACACCCTGGTGTTGGGACACTGTTCTCAAACAAGCACAGAAAGACCAAATTTTGAACAGTACTAACACTTCCTATGTGTACCAATGTCACTGCAAAAGAAAGCATCTCTTCTAAAAGTGCCTGGCCCTGTGTTCATCCACTTCTCTGCCAGCTCGGTCATTTCCTGGCAGCATCCTATCTGTAATCTCTTTTTGTAGAAAGGGTTGTATTATGGGCAAGCAATGAAGTGCATCTGGCCATCCACAGCCTGCCACTAAGTCCTCAGTTCTTGGACATGATGTGAAGATAATTCTGGTAAAGAAGAGAACCGAACAAATGATGCACCTAAGGACATCCACTTAAGATGTATTAGAGCTGCCACTGACTGTAATATTATCAGCATTTCAGATTTCATTCTTCCTTCTGCAAAGCTAATATCTGCCCAGGCACCTACTCGATGGGCTGTGCTAAATCCACTTCTGCCTTCTCTCTGCCATGTCTGACAAAAGGAAGCTGGGGAGATACCACAGACAGGATGCACTGGCATATAACTGAACTTGAACTTTACATCCTTAAAGCTATTCATGTTCTGGGGATCATTTGCCCTAGCCTTCCCCTGCTCCTGTCATCTCAGCTACTGAAATCACTGGGTATTTTTCACAAACACAGCCGTATAAAGCATCCTTAGTAGAAAAATCATTTCCTAATTTAAATGAATCAAAGCCTCAGAAAGGACAAGATTCCTTATCAGAAGTACTTAACACCCCTCAGCTCCACCGGATTTCTCCCATACTTGAAAGCAGCATAACTTCCATGCATCACCAAAAAGATGGCACTAGAAAACCTCCCTCCAAATTCTTAAGAAAATCTCTTTCCTCCTTTGTGTTGGCCCCTCCAGGCACACATCTATTAGACCATATGAGGTTCAAGTTTTAATCAACAGCATCATCATCTACAGTTTTTGATGGAAGTTATTACCTCTTCTATTTAATGGCACTTCCAGGATATGAAAACTTTCCTGTGTGCAGAAAACTATGCACAAGCATATACAATACCTGGGCTATTGCCACAGGCACTAAAACAACCAGAATTATGGACATGACTGCGTACAAATAAATAAAATATGAAACACATACATGGCTCGTAAGAGCTATGAATCAAAGGCAAGGTTCTCATAAAAAATTATTTCACTTCAGATTGGAAAAGTGTAAATGGGAGCAAGATATAATGCCAGGAATCACAAGGAGCAACCATTAATGCCCACAGTCAGTCACTTTTTCAACCCAAGGGAATAATAGCTTCTGCAGTGGAAGGCAATCTGCGTATATTTTATTAAATCCCCTAAAAATGGATTCTCAAATGGTTTATTAACAAACGCTCTTCCTCCAGAAGAGCAGAAAATCTTGTTAGAAAGAATCTGTCATCTTCCCATGCACTGAAGAATGTTTACTTTGATAGCTTTTTCCTTGTTTTCCTTCCTGCAACTTGAAGACACCTGTAAGCTATGACCCACAGAACTTCTGAGCTCAGTATTTAGATTTACCATTCACCATTGTCAGCGTTCTCTTTTCGAGGCAGCTTTTGAAGCACTCTTGAAGTTTAGGAATGGAGGAAAAGGTTTTCTTAACATCTCTTGCCATTATGTTGTGCTCCTATGCTAAATCCTCTCATCCTGTGTCCATGAAGGAAAAGCTTTGCCCCTTTCCATTTACTGTTTTGTTTTATTCGATGCCAAAAATTGCATTAGGGGTTTCCCATGTCATGATGCGAGACCAAAGATTTGTTTAATGTGTTTTACCCTGAGGCAAGTTCACTGTAATTTCCAGCATCTTAAAGAAGCCAAGAAGCTAACTTGCAGCACTCACACTGCTGCACTGTAATTTAGGAATGCACTTTGTTTTTGCAGCATTCAGTAGCACTTGATGGTGATTGTTGAAGCAGCAAATACCTGTGGTGAGGAAGGGTCTCCTGGCACACACAGCAACACAAGGAGTTACATACCCTGATCTACACCTCCGTAACTCATCCTGCTACAAGCACCTGTTACTACATTTCTTTATATAGATTATTCCTGCAATAATTTGGCTTTGGTTCAGATCATGGATGGATTGTACCTCGGTAATAGCTTAAAAAGGGAACACAGAAATAATCTGGCCATCAAAAGTGCTTGGGAAAGCTTTGAACACTTAAAAATAAAAGAGGATGATCAAAGACAATACAGAAAAGGATATGGAAGCCATTGTGACCCAAGTAGCAGCTGATATAATAAACTTAGGTTTTATTAGCTAGTTTAACAACTATTAACTAATTTAATAACTGTTGGTTACAGCTGCAGTGCATATTCTTGTGCATCTTTAAACGTGCTATCTTGTTACCCATACATTTGTGTAACAACTGAACAAAAGGTATTCCAAGGGACATAATTTCCACAAATCTCTTGTAACCCTCCTCAATCTGGCATTAAATACCAAAAAAGCACTTCTCCCAAACTTCAGCATTTTTCATCTCATTTGCATGAGATTCATTTTCATGATAAAATGTTTGCTTTCAACTGTTAAGATACTGCACGTTTTCTTCGTTATCTGGATACAGAGGGTAGCTGAGGAGAAAAAGGAAGCAGACATTAGGTTTTTCTTAATAAAAATCACAGTATTGGCACCACCGTTAGTGCAAAAAGTCAGAGATTCTCAAGAGACTAACATTGATCTAAAAGCCTTTTCCCATGCAGAACTCTTCATGTGTTTGCTACTAGAATTTTCTTTTTGAATAAGCACTGCTTCAAATCAAAGTGTGCCTCCAGTGGGCTGGAAACGTGTTTGAAGGGTCAAATAGAAGTTCTACACACAGTCAGCACAAAACTTCAGAAAGGGAAAGCAGGCATCTCCAGCTAGCCCTGAAGCTGAGCAACAGAAGTCCATCACTTGCTTCCCTCTGGTCGAACCAAGAGGGCTCAGGACTGGGAGAATGGGAGATTGCTTGCAGAAAACAGGGTTAGCATTCAATCCACAAACATGTGCAAGTGACACACAAAGATGTGGAGCTGCTATAATGAGGAAAATTTGCATCATCTTTTGAGCATTACTTCAGTAAGGCACTTGTTACTCTGCAGTACCAAAAATTAAGAAATTGCATGAAAATGAAACACAGTTTTCTCATCTTACTACAAAATGCTTCCCACTATTTGGGTTGTCTGCAGGCAAACAACACAGGCTGCTTTATACATCACCAGATAACTCACACTGCATTTGTATCAGCTGCATCCTCTTCCTGCCAGTGGCAAAAAATTTATATATATATTATATTTATATATATATAAATACATATAAAATCCATAGACTGACAGATCCTTCTGCAAATTTAAGCTATTACGAGAAAGATCATCATATTTTCCACAAAAGTAATCCTCTGAAGATCCCAAGGCACAGATGTTTTTATAATGTATCTAATTCCATAGGCACTGCATTACCTTTAATAAGCTCTCAGGACGAGGCACAGCTTGCTGAATCAACTGCTTAACTACAGCTCTAACTTTTTCTTCAAACCACTCTCCTCCTGCTCTGAAAGCTCTCTATTCAGCATGATGGCTAATTACCTGGTCAAATGTTCTTCTACTATTTTGAAAGAATAAAGCCATTTCCATATTAGTGATAATCCCAAAATAAGGGCAGTAAATGAATGCATTTAATACGTTGCTTAAACACGAGTGGCCTCAAATTCACGTCATTTCAAAGGAGACTTGGAGACCATCCTTCGCCAGACTCCCCCCTTTTCCAACATCACTTGCATTCTGGTATTACAGGCTTCTACTAAAAATACTTCTTTAAGAACTCAAGACGTTCTGGAAATGTACAGAGTTGGCAGAATGTATTCAAAAGTTCTCTGAATGTCAAAGAACCTCCAGGACCTATTAGAAGCCTTCAGTTTGGGGAAAATGATTGCT